ATACAATACTAATAAAAATGTTGGAACAATCTGCAAATCAAACATCTTATAGGTCTGGCCAACTTATAAATGTTTGAAGGGGAGTGGTAGCAGTACTATAACTACCCCTAAAAATAAAAATAAAAATAACTACAAATCAAATAAACAAATAGTTGCAAAACAAACATATTATTAAACTAATATATGTTTGAAGGGGAGTGTTAACATATATGGAATGACACATATAAGTAACAGATGTACCTAAGATATAGCTACATATTATATATACCTACTGAATCAACAGACAATAATGCTAACAAGAGCAAGCTGAGTCCACTATCCCCCCTCTTTGTGTGATCCCTCTAAGCCTCTCACATAACCCCTCTCAACACTATTCCTTGCTATACTATCTCTTGCTCTGTCACTGTCTAGTGTCTACTGTTATTGTCTACTGTCTACTAAGGGTATAAAGTCCCTTTCCCTTCCCTTCCTGTTTCCTAGGGTATAAAGCCCCTTTTCCAGTTGTGGACCTAGTCAGGGTACCAAGCCCCTACTAGTGTCAATTCCAGTCCTGGACATATAGGGCCTCTGCTAGTATCACCTCCTGTTTCCTAGAGTATAAAGTCCCTTTTCCAGTCATGAACCTAGTCAGAGTACCAAGCCCCTACTAGTGTCAATCCCAGTCCTGGACGTTTAGGGCCTCTGCTAGTGTCACCTCCAGTCCTGGACCTAGTCAGGGTATCAAGCCCCTGCTAGTGTCATTCTCAGTCACAGACCTAGCTAGGGATTATGCCCTACTAGTATTATCTAGTCCTTTCCTGTCCTGTCCTGTTCTGTCTTATCCTATCCCCCTCTTGTCCTTCTAGCATTAACAGACCCCCCTGCTCCTACTACACACTCTGTTTAACCTACACACTACCTGTACTCTCATCACCCCCAGAATTGGATGACTGTCTCATGTTTTGACCATGTGTTTTAGTCAATGTCTCAGTTGTCTTCTCCTTATCTGTAGCAACACTGTGCTCACTAGACCTGTTAGGTATCATTCATACATTCCTTACAGTACTGTTTAATGTCTTAACCATGTGTTTTGGTCAATGTCTCAGTTGTCTTCTCCTTATCTACAGTAACACTGTACTTACTAGACCTGTTAAGTATCATTCACACATTCCTTACAGTACAGTTTCATGTCTCAACCATGTGTACTCCTTGTCCCTGTCCTTGTCTCTGTATGTTTTCATTGACAAGTCAAAGCCTTCCTAGGCCAGTTACTATGTGTTCCTCTTCAACAGCTTGCTTCAACTTGCATCTGTCTCAGGGATACCATTTCTACCAACTCTGTCAAAAGTCCTTGTCCTCATACATTTTCATTAACAAGTCAAAGCCTTCCTATACTGGTTACTATGTGTTCTCTCTTACTATACTTCCCTTGCCTCTTCATTAATCCTTCCCTACCTTTTGATGAGTTGAAGCCTTCTTAAACTTGTGACTGTGTGTTCCTTATTGTCTGTCCTTACCCTTTTGTATTTCACCTCCCCCCCCTTTACTGTATCCTTTCCTTTGTCTCTCCATTAATCACTTCCCTACCCCCCCCCTTTTTTATTTCTTCAGAGTAGGGAAGAGTGTAACCTCTGAGGTTACACACATGACTTTAGTTAAGTATATAAAGGGCTATTTGTAGACACTTAGAGATTATCTTCATACTTGCTCCTGTACTTAGGTCAACCTCTCCAATCCCAGGTCTTTGCCTGTTCTGTGAGATTATCTTTGTACTTGCTCCTGTACTTAGGTCGACCTCTCCAATCCCAGGTCTTTGCCTGTTCCATGTTCTTGAGTAAGGCTCCAGCCTTTACACTTTCCTTCTTCTTACTTGTCTGCATGCTTGTTTTGTAAATACAATATTATTAAAATACAATGTAGTAGAATAGAACAAATGCAAGTGTATTAAAATGTTAATACTTAATTATAAGGGGAAAAAAAGAGAAATAAATGAATACCTGGATTGTAAAATATTATAACTATTTTGAAGTTTTGTAAAGCTCTTGTAGAGTATAATAATGTCTAACAATATACATACTACTTTTAAGGCTTTATATTAGATTGTATACATTATAAAACTATATTACTCTTGTCAAAATACAGAGTTCTTTTAATATCTTTTCATTTTAGGAGGTTGGATATAAGTTCATTTATATATTGCCAAAACTTATAAACCTTATTCATATTGACAATACATACATACCTTTTTGTGTTTTATATAGCTTTTTATAATTTTCTCATTTTGAGAGGTTGGATATATGGTCTTTTATATTTTTTAGAAAATTTATATAATTTATATATTTATAAGCTAATATAAGCCTTAAGACTTTTTCCTGATGTTGTACCACCAAAAACCGTACGTCAGAAGAGAGCATACAATATATCCACACGTCATCAGCTCTAGTTCGGTAATGTACAACGATTGGGCCTTGCGTGTAATAGTTTGGACCAAAACATTGAAGATCTGCAGACACGCGATGGACTTTGCAAATATATCCTTTTTGCTGGTATTGTCGATGTTACGACGCAGCCGCTCGTAACAGTCGGGGGCTCTGTATTGCTTCTGCCACTCTAACCATTGATCGAAATCAGCATCTTCACCTTTAGCATCGACTATTCTGAATGCGCCCATGTTTAGGGAGAATGCATGAACTAAGGACCATTGACCATTACTGGTGTCTCTCATCGATTGCATCTTCCTCCAAGCGAGCCGAAATTCTTCGAAAGCCAACCATAATAAAATCTCTGGGGCGACAATAGCAAGAGTTACGCGATTTATAACGCAAACTTCAGCTTGCTACTCTCCCCCACGTCAAAGTGGATTATTTGGTATACGGCTGCAAATATTGCCATCAAGCACATCCAGACGATGTTAAGCGTGCTCCGAGTACCAGACCCAGACTGGAAACCTACGCGGTGCTCGGATGACGGGAATGACGTTTTGTGTCCGGAATTGAGTACGAACTGGAAGGCAGCGCCAGAGACGATGCCGAATAAAATATTTAAAAAAAGCGCAATGTGTGGAAGCCTGGATATTTTGTGATGCTCAAGCCAATGTAATAACCTTTGTAATGTTGCCTTTGACCATTGTCGAACTTTTGTGAATATAGGCACAGTAATGGTGGACGATGCACTCTCGTCGACCTCGTTCGCTACTAGAGTATAAGAGGTCAGTGTGGTACTAGAGATCCTAGAGGACCAGCCTTCTGAATGTGAAGACATTACAGCTTAATGTGTACAATGAAGGGTGATGGTTACTCGAGTGAAGATGGGTAGAGGGGCAAGATGAGAATAGAAGAGTAACCCCAACCCGTCAAATTATATGAATGCCCGGTGAGTTGTATACAGGTCAACAAAGTGCACTGGGAACATTTCTAGAGACCTGTGGCGCTTAACTGCCAATGTGAGATATCAACAATAGTAGCACTCTGAATGATATACCTAATAACACAGCCTGCACTAACACAAGGAACTATCAATAGTAAAGCAATGCATTAAAAATTGCTCATTGGTCAACAATCTGATAGCCCATACACCTATCTTCCTAGTTACACGTTGTCTCCTGTGCCTCTTTTGTTTACTCTCAGATTTGTCTGGGTACGAGTCTAATATTTCTAATCCAACCTGCGCGTAGTATAAAGAGCCATGAATGGACGCACAATGTGCAAACAGTGCATTTAGAACAACACACACGATACAAGACCTTATGCGACCGTCTCCCAAATCCTCCAAATCCAGCCCCATCCCCCCTTCCTTCTAGCTGCACGACGGACGTCATCTTCTATATCCCTTTCGTCTTCCTCGTGTTCGTCTGCATATAAGTCAACTGTCTTTATGTCCACCAACTCACGGAGGCCGTGCGTCGAATTAGGCGAAGGCAGGATAGACGCTGGTATGGATGCATCGAAGCCCGGAAGATGTGATGTGGAGTCCGCAACATGAGGACGATGATGTTCCGGCATTTTCGGGATGAAGGCACGCCGATGTCGAACAATGAACCATATGAGCGTCATTAGCGCCATCACGGGAAGCTCCAGGTACAACGAAACGAAGTCAACCGGCGAGAAGACCGGATAAAAGGATGTCCAACCTTGGACTTTGCAAATACAAGGAAAGGGCGCCTAGATAAGTGAAATTCTGGGAGAGAATGCGAGGAAGAGCAACGTACAGAGAATAACAAGCGATACGGTGATGACAACAAAAGGCGGTCCCCACGGCCAGGTCCAGCCTGCACGGTATTTCATTTCGGAAAGCGGCCTGCCTTGTGCAATCCATGCCTGTCGAAATCGCCAACTAGCAATCCCGATGGAGAGCCAAGCAATCTGGGTTGTAAGCAATGGCCAATGCATGTATCGGACGACCGGAAGAAGTTGAAGAAGAGGTCAATTCAATAAGGGACGAAAAACGCACAACCTTATAACGAACCTGATTTGATACTCCAACGATATTCTGCAACCATCCCCATAGCACCCCAGATCCAACGAAGGAACTTGCAAAGCATAAAGCACTGATACTTGCGGTACCAAGGAGCGCTCGCAAGGGAACACCGTTAGAAGTTGTATGAGAGAAAAAGCCAGGAGCGAGGCGGGGAGAAGAGGTCGACAGTGAATATAGAATACCTGAGAAAATATCATTTCAGTCATTTCAGTGTAGTCGCAGAATGAGTAACGATGGATGACTGACGTGTCCCAGCATAGAGCGCATGATTCCCAGCAGAAAGGACGGATGAGAGGATGACGGTATTCATGAACGAAGCGGCAACATCTGAATACCGCAATATTTAATACATGGTTTTAAATACACAGTAATTTGCTTACTCGATCCCGCCTCGCGAAAGACAATCGTGAACGGCGAAGTTGTCGTAGAGCGGTTTGATAGATTCGGATATGTGTACGGAACTATTTTTCGAGATTTAGCTACGAATAAGCACCAAAATGAATAAATTTACCATTAAGACCAATCATTAAGATGGATAGGACGTAGAAAAGCAAAATACGCCAAAACACAACGCGGACAACACGCGGCATGCTCTTCGTCGGGTTCTTCGTTTCGCCAGCAGTAATGGCAAGACTTTCAGTGCCACCGTATGCGAAGCTCGCAGTAACGAACACGCGAGCAAACCCAGCGCCACCATCGACGAAAGGAGCTCCGGGTATTCGCCAGTTGCGTCCACGAATCGGAGTGTGTTCTCTATTGACACCTGCATTGACGAGTGCACCGGTAATGATAAATACGATTATGGTGACGACCTTTAGGGATGATAAAATATATTCTAGTGACAATAATTATAATTGGGACACGGCGATTACAATTATGAAAAATATAAAGTGACGTACCCATTTCACCATACGAACGCACACTTAGTGCGTTAACTGATAGCAAGAATACAAGAAAAACGACGGAGATAACCCAAGGATGCCAGTCGGTCCAGAATTGGAGTACAAGTTGGGCAGCCGTAAGATCCGATGCTACTGATACAGCATCATTGAACCAATAATTCCAACTGAGGGCGAATGCGTAAGATGGGGAGAAGAAGCGCGCCGCGTAGACAGTGAATGAACCTGCGACGGGATACTGAGTGCTGAGCTCCCCTAGAAGGAGAAGGGTGATATAGACGATAAATCCAATTATGCCGTAGCATATCAATATGCTAGATAAATGATTAGATAAGACAGACTTCTGGCAAGGAAACAAGTTGACTGCTCGCCTAGCGGGACCGCCTTGAGCAAGTGAACGACCTGTACCAAGAAACAAACCTGTACCAATTGTACCTCCAATAGCAATCATAGACACCTGCCGGGTCGACAAATCACGCCGCAGTCCGCCAGTACTAGCATTCTGACGTCCACTAGCGTTCCCATCGAGCTGCTCCGTCTGTTCTTCGTCGCCCATAGTAGCTCCTTGTTCCGGAGCAGAGTATCGCTTTGCGCGCACAGTTGCGCCTAGAAGCGAGGTATTCTCGGATGAAGACATTGGAGAGAATCGATGAAATAGAGGGTGACTGGGACATGGCGAGTTGTTATGGAATTAAGGCTTGAACGTACGTCATTCTGTCAGTAGCCGTACGTCACGTGCATGACATGGATTTCTTAAAGACTAGACGCAAAAAATGATGAACTGATGCGCTGACCTCCTATTGGTGCTACCAACGTGGATGCGTCTCTGGCAAACAGTCTTACGAGACGGCGCGATTTGGCCTACATGCGCATCCGTATTCTCGCCTGAACTTGTTTATGTCGCCTGGTCTCAGATCTTTCTGCCTTCGACTCTAACCAGCTTTACTCCACGAAGCTTCGTCTCGACAACCCAGTAGAGAACGGTAAAAGAGCTGCTTTCCATACTACAGAGTTGACCAAATTTTGCAATAGATTTGAAACACTGTAAGATCATTGTCTTTCGATCTTGTCCATTCTACTATAGACTAATATCTGAATAATTGGTTGAGCCATCTTGTTGATACACGAAGGTGACCACGTGGGGTACAAATCTGCAGCAGCTACTGTCCATTAAGAACTTTGTTTGCGTTGGAATATCTCTAGCTATATTGAGTCCTGATGCCTCCTATCTGTTATAATCAATACTCGGGCGTAGAAGAGGTCTGCCACGTTACTACGTCTAGTTTGCATTCTTTCGGCCGAACACGCATATGTCAATCAGTATCAAGAGAAGGCGAAATGTGTGTATTTTGCATGCACTTTGTTCATTGGACAGCAATATTAATAATTAAGATGGTGTAGTCTTGGATCAGTTTCCCCCATTGGACGAAGCAGTCCAGCGGTTAACGAATAAATGCAGGGCATTTGCACCCGTAGTCTTGGCGCAACCTGTGCAGTAGTTTCTGGTTGTTGAGGAGTCTCAACAGAGCACCTCTGCTTCTCTCGTGCTATTCATTTTACGGAAAGGGACGTGCCTCAAAGACATGGGAAGGACGAAGTAAATTCTCACGCGGCGACCTCGGTCATGTGACCTTCGAAGCTAGAATTGCATGCGCTGCGTGAGAACGCGAGTTCGTCGTCTCCCGCAACCGAACCGAATACAGTTTAACACACTGACATAGAGACATAACAATCAGGAAGAGCCGCCTTTCTCCATTATGAAGTCTTCTTCAAACCGTCGCGTTGCTCGGAGAAGCTCTATCAGTACAATGCCGCAACGCAATGTTGCCATCTTTCTCTGAAGATGGACGGGCGGGTCAACAAACGTTTACCATGCCGACAGCCTGAGCAACGATGCACAGCGAACTTTTTCATCAGCATCCGTCATTGGGAGCCGCGTATCATGTGCTTTTCGGCTTCCATTGACCAGGCTGTGGCCTTTACTGTTAGAAGAAACATGCATGTATCTTCTTCGGAGAGGCTGTACAATCTCTTTTAAGTCCTTTTCAAATTATACGCCCATTCGTTCCTTGCCATTGTCATTGGAAGTGCGCCCTCACGCGAACAATCTTTGATTGTAGTGACACCCAAGATATAAACATGTTTTGATCCTAAAATATTGAATAGGCAGTAAAGTAGAGTTGGTAAGTGACTACATCTATGGGTCTTCCGATGCATATTAATCATTACCTGTGCTTCATCCAAGGCTTTTCTAGATGAACCATCATCTGCACCCGTGCATATGGCTTAAAGCCCGAGTAACCGATGCACACGGGTGCAGTCTCTTCCGAAGTAGTGAGAAGTCTAAATCTGCACCCGTTCCGCTTGCCGTCGTTACGAACAATCCACAATCGACATGTCCGAAACTAGCATTGAACGTGTTAAGCTATTCGCTTTCAGCACCCGTTGTGGTAAGGCAAACGATCTGTGTTTTAGTATAAAACGCCTCTCAATTCAACAGCAATTCTTCAGAGCAGTACTGGTCTCTCCCTCAAGTTCATCTTCTCTTCGTCCTTCCGTGCTGCGCACGCCTTAGCTCTTCTCATTGTCCATCAACTCCGTCAGGCAGAGCCTTACTTGCATACATCCACTCTCGTTCTTCTTCATAGCATCACTTTCGTGCATTACTTCTTCACTACTTGATCATTCACGATGAAGCTTGTCTTCCAACTCGTTCCTCTTCTTGCTCTCGCGCTCCATGCTCATGCTCACGGAGTATTAACTGCTGTCACTGGTGCAAATGGAGTCTCCGGACAAGGCTTCGGTGTTATCGCGAGCACTCCACGTGACGGTACAAAACGCAACCCCTTCCAGGTTAGTCGAGCAGTATTCACTTTACTACCGACCTTTATGTTGACTTCTGTTTGTTTGGCCGTTGTATAGCAAGACACGAGTATCATCCGTGACAAAGAAATCCAAAACGGTGATGCTGGTGCTTGCGGAAGAACGCTTGCTGGTGGCAACAATGACGTCGCTTCGCAGCTTAGTGGTAGGAATATTTTATTCTGCTTTCATTCGTAGATGCTCAATACATGTCTTAGCCGCCGTCTCTGCCGGCCTTCCCTCTGCGTCCGCGGATGGCACTGTGACCATGACACTTCACCAAGTGAACGGTGACGGCGCAGGGTGGGTGATTCATGATTTAGTGATCGACTGTTAATCTAATCATAATTCGTTGAATAGCCCCTACACTTGCGAAGTCTCCACCGACGCGACTGGAACCAGCTTCGCAGCTATGACCGTGACGACAAACGTTCCAGGCAAGAACTCGCGGAGCAATGCGAAGGCAACTGACTTCGCTCTTGTTGCTCGTACGTCTCTCTTTAGTCTATTAAAGTTGCTTTCTAACTTTATTCTAATGCTTGTCTTTCTAACCACGCAGAAATGCCGGCTGGAGCGACTTGCACTGGTGGTGCAAACGGCGACGCCTGCCTCGTTCGTTGCCGCAACGCAGCGAGAGCTGGTCCTTTCGGCGGTTGTGTAGCTGGTTCGTACTTAACCCTCACCATTATACATCTTCGTTAAATCTCACATTTGGAAAATTTAGTGTCTAACGCAGGAAGTGGAAACTCAACGGCTACTGGCACTGCTACTGATGATACCTCAGACACAACTGTTGCCGCCTCTTCCGCCGCTACCGACTCTGCCGAAATTGCGGCTCCGTCGTCCGTTGCATCAGGATCGACTACTGGTGCGACCGATACAACTGGTGCGACCGACACGACTGGCGCGACTGGTGCTACAGGCGCAACTGGAGCTACGGGTGCGACGGGAGCAACAGGCGAAACTGGAGTTACCGGCGCGACAGGTGAAACTGGAGCTACTGGTGCGACTGGTGCTACCGACGCATCAGGTTCTACTAGCGTCACCAGCTCTACTGGTGTCACTGGATCTACTGGTTCAACGGGTGCCACTGACACAACGGGCTCCACTGGTGTCACTGGTTCTACTGGTGCTACTGGAGCTACTGGAGCTAATAGTGTCAACGGTGCTGTCGGTAACGGCGCCACCACTTCCAACGCGAAGTTTGCCAAAGGGAAGCAAGTCCGTGACACGACTTCCAACGATGATGAAGAGGACGATGGTGATGTTTCAATTCATGATGCTGAGATTGCCCTCGCAGCAGACCTCGAGCGTCGCTTTGAGGAGCGTGTGAAGCGTTCTCGTATCTCTGGACGTCAGTCTTTCTAAATGTTTTTGGATGATGTAGATAGGGCTAGTCGTTCTGTAGCTCGTCATGGACTATTCTTGGGATAGTTTTCTCTTTTTCTTGTTTTAATTCAGATTAATTTCTGTTTTTTTCTTTTTTTCACTGTGTGCATCTCTAAGAGTGATTATGACCACAATGGTGAAGCTTCCTTGCACCTGCAATCAGCTCCTGAGGATGGGCAAGTTCTTTACTGTTCCTGCTTTGCACACCCTGCTAAATGTGGTACTGATCTCCTTGGGACGCGTGAAGAGTATTTATTTTGCACTGTTACTTGTTTCTTTATTCCCATTTTGATATCAGCGGTTCGGCTATAAAGATCAGAACAACTTTGAAGTGTTCTCGAGTCATTTCTCTCACTCTAAGGCATTGGCAAATTTTTACAATATAGGATTACAGTTGAAAATATCTTATTGCATAACGTCGGGAGAGGCCTCAGACCTATGCAATATGAGCAATATGCATTATGGTAACCGTGCGAAAACATTACTTAATTAGGAACCCAAATTCGATATTACTTTTCAATTTATTTGAAGACATATACACTATGACAAGAAAATAAGCACATATCTAGAGTATCAAGAAAGACAACCAAGACAATGACAAGTACAGTAAGTGTGTATATCACTGTAAAACTCAAGAAATGGTTTGTAATACAAGGAAATACAGTCAGAATCTGTAGAAACAAAAAAATAGAAAAAGCTAGTCAATGCAAATAACTAATTTATAACTTTCCCCTACATATCATGAAGAGATCTTTGCTGCCCTATCTTGGTCTTGTGGCAGCATCAAAGACATTGTAAGCAATGAAATGTCAATCAGAAACATTCTTTTTGTATTAAAGTACATCAGAGAACAATATGTGAGGCTTCTGGGTACAAAAATCACAACAGTAAGCAGTCTAATTTCCAAAAATGCTCAGAATTTTGCATAATTTTCTCACAAATCTTGATGCAATATGCAATAGACTATTTTTGTGCATAATTCCCTTATCCCGAGCCTGGATTAGGCAGAAAGCTATGCAATATTCAATTTATGCATTATAATGTGATGCAATAAGGTATTTTCAACTGTAGATGAATATTACGTAACACTTCTTGCTACTAAAAACGTACGTGACGATCTCAAGGGTTTCTTTCGGGACCTCTTTTTTCTTGATCGTTATTGTTGAGCATCGACACTTTCCTTCGAGATCACCACACCTCTTTGCCTCCGTTTCTGCAACTGAATCTGCGGCCTATGGTCGACTTCGACAGGCGGACTGAAGTCCGACGTAGGCAAAGAATGGTGCCTTCAAGCCCTATTTCGACTAGACTACTTTACAATTCTTATTGTTTTCACCAACGGAATTCGGCGTGTTTACCGGATTGACGGTAGCATTCGTTTATATCTGTAAACACAGCATGTGCACTGATACTTCCCACGGCCCTACTCTGCGCAACGCATATTTGTATCGTGCACTTTGTACGTCATTCCGGGGTGGCATGGCTTGGAATGTACCAGCGGAATATCAATGCATCCAATCTCTGCACTCAGGGTTGGATGACCGGTTCAACACAAGCCCCCTTTTGTTTGAGCCCCGTTTCTTTTGTTTTGCTTGGATTATCAAGATTTGTACTTGCCGGGAACTGCGGTGACGTGTTGATACACGCACCTCGTTATGGACAGCCTCGACTTTTAAAGCACCTTAGCAAGCACTTCAATCTACAACCATCTCGCCTTAGTAGAACATCTCCCTCTTCAATCTCACTTCGTTGTTACCTGTTCTCCGCAACACGGACATGGCCGCTGGACTTCCGTTCGACATCTATGAAGACCCATCGTTCCTAGGAATCACATCTTCGCAGCTCAATCAGATGCATCGCCCCAATCGCCGCGCGTCGGGATCACCTCGACTCGCAATAAATGCGGACAATCAAGTACCCCAGCGCACTAATGGGGACGCTGCTTCGCATCACGTAGTATCGACTCTTTCGAGTTCATTCGTCTCTACGTGGCTTGTCAACGTATTTACATTGTGACAAGACTAGATGCATATCAGCTCGTGGCGTATCAAGGTAATTTTCAATTGTTCGTTTTGCAATGGCAAATAGTTGACCTAACTTGTTACAGTGTGCTGCTAGCCTTGTCTTATACTCCCTGACTTCTCAATTTTGCTCTCTTCTTTGTATTCTCGGTGAGCAGTCATTCCCCAACTCAGCGTTGTCGCCATATTGGTTAATTGATACAAGCTCACAACAGCGTCAGCATCATGATTCATCATACCTGAGCAGCCTTTAGAAATTCCTCGTTATTTTAGTTTGCAACTGAATTATAAAATCATCGAAGACATGCCAAGATTGCTACATTAAGGTATTACAAGAACGTATCAAGATACAACATAACCTGTACGTAGGTTTCATGAGCCATCGTTGTGCTTAATCTGCACCCTGTACCTCAGGGCAGTTCCTTTAGACACGGAAAAATCAGAATAAAGGTATCTTATTTCTCTATAGTGTGATACTCTCTGCTCAAAGTTCTGCTGAACTATGATGCTAAAGGTTGGCTACATACACATGGGTTGCATCCAAAGAATTAGTCATTGGCCCCCGAGTCCTAGCTTCTCTTACCCCATGGAAGAACATCTGTACTTTCATATTGACTCGTGTTCTTGATGGATATTACTGTAACAATCAATGCCAACTTTTGTTCACATCTTTTGACCTTGATCAGAGTCATCAGACTGTTACTTGTATCCGTTAGTATCTTCCCGACCAAGTTACATACACAAGTGTTCTGCAGAATCCCTTTCCCCTCAATTTCGAGCGTAGATATTACCTTTTGTGACAGGAATGAGGTGGGAATCTATACTGATACGAATGAGACAATTTCGACCCGCACATAAAAGGAAACGGAAACGCCGATCAAAGCCAAGTAACAATTTGCTTCCGACCTCCATGAATCCGGCTATGCTGATATTAGCATGTCTATTACGGTCTAAATCAGTTCCTCGATCCCCATCCCCATTCTCTTGTGGCAGTCACCACCTGACAGGTGGAAGGCAGCATAATTCTTATCACACCTATCAAGCCCATTCACCTCACACATGCAACCCATGCACATGGGTGAGTCTGCAAACGGCCAAAAACTGACTGAATGTATTTGAGGTGCAGCAACATACTTTCCTTACCAAAACTCTATTCGTAGGCATCGTAAAACCTAAAGTGTGCCTTTCCTGTTGAAGACCTGTGCACATTGCGACCGGATCTTAGTGTATAACCGATCAGCCACTTTGATTGACAAGGATCACTGCGCCCATCTCGATGCACGCACGTTGGTTCCGAAAAGACTTCTGTTCCAAAGTAGCTATGCTGAATACGAGTTGTCGAGGTAATAGGTACACTTTCTTATTACAGCGCAGATCCATGTTCCCACCCTTTGCGTTGCAGGCTCACTCTCTCGTCTTCTTCCGTTCCAGAAGTTAGATCATCCTCGTATGTCACCTCACACCTTTTGCTGGCCACATGCATAGTACTCTCAATCTCGCTGGTTACTTTCTTACCTCTATCCTTCATATGCACTCTTTTATCCTTGTCCCAATATTCACCATTTTCTTCTGCTTTGTTGCTTTACCCGTCTCTTCGCAGTCTGGGCCATCGTCATGGACAACGCGTCCTTTTAGTCCACCAGCTATTCCTCTTGCCGTGCGATCGCCGTACTTGAACACTTGGCTTCCCCAAGGCGCTGGACCGACTCAGCTCAATGTACACACTTGGCCGAATTTCTGGAACATTGAGAATACAGTGGGTAGCAGTTCGGGCATGCATTTTATTTGTGATTCATTTGTGATTATAGGTAACGAGCTGGTACGCACACGCCGTGGTCGATGGCGTTGCCTATCGCCTTGTTGGGGTGGCTGCGAATCCCAATGTTACTGTGGCTAATCAGACTGCGATCGAGTTCACCCCGACTCAAACATTTGTTCAGTTTACTGCTGGCCCGATGCAGATGAATGTATCATTTCTTAGCCCGATTGAAGTGCATAACTCAGTTTAATTATAGGCTTTATCCTCTAATGTCTGAATACCTGCTCAATACTGTTCGTTCATTCAGCCGACTGACCTCGTTCGACAATCCCTCCCATTCGCCTATCTTTCAATATCGGCGGCATCAACCGACGGGGGAGCACACTCTTTGCAAATGTACTCAGACATCTCGGGAGGTAAGCTTTCCTCTGCCTCTAATTTAGACATGACTTATTCCTTCGTCAGAGTTCATAACCGGTGACACAAGTAAAGTTGCACAGTGGACAGCAGATGAAAGCGGAGATTACGTCGTACTCAGCATGCAACTTCAGACGCAACAGCAATTCTCTGAAATTAATAGCTTTGCACAGGACGCAACAGAATATTATTCATTTAAGCATGTAAGGTGTATTTTTATAAAACCAAAGTGAAACAGAACCTGTAACTCGTTGTTGAAACGGCTTTATTACTATTCGTACGTTAATAGATCGGCGGTACAACGACTACTTGGGCGATTGCAAACGATACGATAAACCGCACGACTGCGGCTAGTTTAATTGCCTCGCTTGGGAACCAGACAGACCCAACTCCTCGAGCTGTAAACACGACCGGAAAGTGAGATGTTCTTTCTTTCCTTTCAAATGTTTTTACTATGCCACTTAACCACTGTCACGCAGCAATCAGCCTGTTCTGGGTATCGCAGTGGACTGGGGAACAATAGAGTCGACACCAGAGCCTGCTGTTTGGGCGATTGGTGTGGTACGGAGCCCGTCGATACAGTACAAAACCGCATCTGGAGCAATTCAGAATCGCTATCCGTATTTCTTATCCAAATACAGTGATGCATCAGATGCGGTATGTCTTCCTCGTCATTGTGTACAGATCAGGGTAGAGTTGATCCGACTTATTATGAAGGCAAGGGCATTCCTTGACGATTTCCAACGTGCGCAAGAAGCAGCGGCTGCGCTTGACTCACAGATAATTACGGCTGGGGAGCAAATTTCGTTAATTTATTCACACCTACTTTCTTTGACTGCGCGTCAGGTCATGGCCAGTATGGACATTACACTTTCCAAGACTGGGAACGGCCAGTGGAACACGTCAGACGTTAAAATTTTCATGAAGAATCTGGGAAGTGCTGGTTCTGACGTCGGGTGAGTGAATTCTTCTTGTCCCTCTTTGGTTGACCTGATAGTAAGCGGCGACTGACGATTCTAGGGAGTCGATGAGTGTAAATGCTGTCGACATTTTGTATGCCGCTTTCCCCACGTTTATCTATCTCAACCCCGAGCTCGGAGGTTACCTGCTTTCTCCTCTATTAGAGTACCAGGACTCAGATGCATATACACTGTCGTTCGCCGCAAAGCACATCGGTATGCCTTGCTCACTAATCTCTATCTTTAAATGATCTGAGAAGATTGTAGGTTCTGCTTACCCAAATGCAACAGCAGATGGAATAAATAATGGGCATATATACGGAGTGGAAGGTACTTCATAAAAGATCCATAAACGCCACAATTTTGACTTGCAACCTAATTAGAAACTGCAAACATGATAATAATGGCGCTTGCATATACTCAAGCATCAGGTAACAGGACCCTTCTGGATATGCATGTATGCCTTTCTCTCTTTCATTCACGGACAATATACTCATTGAAAATATATAGTACACAATGTTTCGGCGCTGGGCAGAGTATTTGATTCAAAATTCACTGACACCAACAAATCAGTACATTTACTCACTCAGTTGCAAAATTATGCCTCTGAATTCTCCTCCTATCAGAGCCTCGGCGGATTTTTCTCCTCTCTCTTCCCTTTCAAATGACAATCAGACGAACACAGCATTGAAGGGGATAATAGGTATTGCAGCTATGGCCAAGATAGCCGAGATTATGAATATGAATGACGACCAGGCAAACTATAACGTGAGTTCTTCGCGAGTGGCCATGCGTATTTCATTTTAATTTTATCTAGAGCACGTCAGCATCATTTATTACCCAATGGATGGACAGAGCACTTGCTCCGGATCAGTCTCATATTAATTTTTTCTACGATATGCCAAACACAAATGGGATGATCTACAATGTGTATGCAGACAGGCTACTACATCTTGAATTTGTTCCAGAAATCATATATGACGTTCTGACCGAATTTTATCAAGCTACATCCAGTACGTAAAAATCATTTCCCGTACTATAACCTTGGATTAAACGTAGTTTCTCTGCTCATAGGTCAAAATGGATATGGTATTCCATTAAGCAATGTACAACCGCATAATACATCTTCATGTCAGTGACTCAATCCTATCTACTTTGCACCGGGCCTAAATTTATTATGAAGGCTGGGCGATGTTTGCTGCATCAACTGTTACAAGCCCTCAGATTAGAGATCAGATTATTGAAAAGCTTCATGATTACGCCACTTTTAATGATGAATATTTTGGCAATTTTTTTCCATCGATCTCAAATTACGATCCAGTGTCAGGGAAAATTGACACGGGAAGCGCAAATGGGAAGAACAGGTCAGTTCATATTCATGTTTATGTATTTGGTATCTTACTCCCATATAGTCCAGTACAAGGAGCAATGTTTGCGATTCTTGCGTTGAAGTGAGTATTAACGAATTGTATGATTTAGCGACTTACTCAAATTCAATAGTACCATGGTAAAGCAGATCGGGGGAAATTCAGGAAATGGCCCGAATGGTGGAGGCACAGAACATCGCTCAGCAAAATCAAAACGTCCGATAGGTGCAATCATTGGGGGTATTGTGGCAGGACTTGTGGTGATATGTGCTTTCGGCCTCCTTGTTTTCCTGAGACACGGAAAATCGCGGAAGCGAAGCGCTTCTACGTTACAAGTGAGACCTACGCCGATGGGGACGACAGCGCGACACACCTTATCTCCGTCAAATCTCCAAACCATCTTAACGCAAAAGGAGCGAGCTCTACAGGATTTGATCCCTGTTACTCAAACGTCCTCCGGGACACAAGTCTCAAAATTGCCTATGCCTGTTCCAGTTAATCCAGTGCTTTCCATGGCACCGGCACAGAAACCAGCTGTGGAGAATAGCGAACCCGGCCCGTCCAACCTAAGTAGTACTTCGCACGACAGGGAAAACCTTGAAGCAGCAGAGGTTACAGTAGATAACGACCCTTCGTCGGCAGTGCGACATTCGTTACAACCCCCACTTTCTTCTGAGCGCGATTTGTGGATGGTTGTGGAGGACCTGAGGCGGGAGATTTACTATCTGAGAGAGAACGGCGCGGCTCCAGAAGTCGCACCACCATCGTATCCCGGTTCGCTTTGAACTTGTTTCGATTAATTTTGATGCGTTATCTGTTCCCTTTTCCACTTTAAATTGCATCTGTGACGATAGAAACGTAATAGAAACTCGTAGTATCTGCATAACTACAGTTTCTTGAGCTGTCATTGTTAATTGAGTTCTTGACATGAAAGCAGATGGTGAATCTATTGTGCATCAGAGCTCTAAAACCTACACATATAGCATATAATGGCCTAATGCAATATAGACATAGTCAGTGGTCCAAAATGTCCAAACTTATGGCAGATACAAATAGACAGGATTAATACACTGGATGAAATGTTCGGAAATTTCCAGCTTCCTATGATTCCTATCACGGAGAAACATTTAATACATCTTCAAATAAAGACACCTTCCCGACCGCAGTCAGCCTTCTGTTTCCTATCGATATATTAGTCTCTCAAAGAGGATAGATTTACATCTGATATTGTGATGTAGCTAAGTCGATGACCAATGAAATGAGACGACCTTCATCCGTGTTGCCTTCTGGAGAATGTCGAAAAGGTAAAATAGCCGCTTTTGAGTACTTACAGTGACGTGATTAAGCGCAACTCTTCAACTAGGTACGGGTTCATACAGCAAATATGTAAAGAGTTCGGACTACATGTAATTGACTGTAGACGTTTATATCCTCTTCCAGTAGTACATTCCAATTCGACATCTATGTATCATCACAACTGTGCGTCCGATCAGAGACAAACATAGCAAAATCAGGATCAGAAGATTTCAATTGGTGATGATCACTGGGTACTACAACCGAACCCACACTCATCAAATACATATGCAAACTGACACTATTTATACCCAGTGAAGTTTCGTAGCCCGTAGAGCGTGCGTCCTACTCTTCTTCTTGTGAATATTGCAATGACAAGCTATATCAGTGCAGCATTATCCCTTGTCACACATTCACGGGCAGTTCAAGTAGGGTCAATTTTGTATAGTATAAATTGAGTTCTGACACAGCAGAGAAGTATGGAACAGCTGCAAGTGCTATACTTACGGTACTGTGAAGTCTCTATATTGATATACTTTCTGACTAACAATCAAATAGGTCTACGATTATATGATAACGTTTTCAGATGAAGTACGTTGTGATTAGCCAAACACTGAAAATATTGAACAAAGTTTTATCCTCTATAGGTGCAGCTCGTCTGGCACACTAGATGGAGTGCAATTAAATGCTTATTCTTCGGGACACACTATCTACAACTTATTGGGTCACAATTGATGCTGATATGCACGTTTACTCTTGTTTATACATCTGACAAATAATCATTTGGTCCATGTTAGATTATGTCTACCCTAACCTACAACTCAAGGCACGTCTTATTTTGTACTTATATGGAATAAAAACATTAATAATGAAAATTTAATTGTACAGACATGCAGGCATATGTATTATGCTTCTACAGGTGCAATACGTGCATAGGTTCGGAATTACCTGAAATTAACAAATTTATAGCTTGTAGTGCGGCTATAATAGTGCTTTCAATTAGTAATGTGGTTCTAAGTATGAAAATGCAGCAACCAGTAGTGATTCGAAAAAGTTATTCTATCCATCAGGACATATGCTCTGTGGGGAAGGTCTCGTCGTATTCTTATTGTACTTAGCTTGGTATTATCTGTACGTTCTAGTTCCCAATTTTCTGTCTACAGATACTGACCGAAAATACAGTCCTCGTTTGTCCTCGGTTCAATTACATTTGCTATTTCAACGAGCCACAAAATATGTTAGTAGCATTTTGATCTCAAACATACATCAACATTTCACAAATGTTTGCCTTCATGAAGGGCTTTCAACAAATGTTAGATCACTAGTGCCCTGTATCTCAACTGCCTCGGGAGATAGTGGTGTCCCAGATTACTCCATCTATGCTATTATCATGTCAACGGAATGCAGTTAGAGTTTCAAACCTTTCTGGATGATATAATACTGATAAACGGCATATCTGCCTGGTTATATTGTATTTGACAGTATGGAAAGGAATATCAGAATGTGCGAGCATCTGCTAGATTCACATTAGCTCTGTGCATTTTGATTGAATGTTAACTGTCTCAGGGAGACGGAGGACAAACAAAAGTGCACTCATGAGGATCTTCTATTGCAATGGTAAGTACCATTCCTACATTTCACATATTGATAACACTTACTAGAACACTTTGAAGGGCTGTGTGGTTTTGCATGCCTGTTTTGTAATTTTCTATTCTTTTGGTATATAAAACCATTCATACTGAATGTTACTGCAGCATTATCAGCCGCTAATCTTGCAATCAATATCATTCAAGTTTCCGATGCAAGTTATTCACGACAATAGTGCTTTATTAACAATATACTAACGAATGTATGATGTACAGGGGGACTTCGACCGGCTGATCCTTGAGTGAGAGTCACAAAGTCATCATCCAATACTCTTTTACAAATTGATTCCTTTAGATTACAATGTACTTTCCACGCCATCCTCTCGTCTCGAATAATACTCAATCTACGAGCGGCGTCATCTGGTGTGGAACAGGAGACGAGTCAGGATGTGCTGAGTAATATCCGATTTGCCAGCACGAACGCCACAGCAGTGTCCCGCAGTGATCTCATGTCACACAGTGTAGGTTAAGTGGGACATCACAAAAATAAACATAGTCTTATAATGTATTATATGCAAATGTAATGTCTAAAATATATAAAATATATAGAAGTCTGCCAGGTGTCCATATATTGGATTTTAAGGCTAAGACATATATTTTCAAGATATGTAAGAGTTGTGAAATCTATAATACTTCTAATGATTGTCAGAGTATACAAGACTTGACAGACAATATAAGCCATTATAAGCTATTGTTAGAATTGATAGATAATAAAATAAATATTGTTTTAAATATTACTTGTACTTTCTAAACACTGTTATAGAAGGGAAAAAGTTGTGTAATATTTATTTAAATGTACTAAGGATACAAGCAAATTCCTTTAACTAACCATACTACCTTCCTCCTTTGACTCATAACAGTACTGCCCTTTTACCATCATCAACTGTCATCTTGTTGCTTGCTAGAGTCGGCTGGATGCTTAGATTCTCGTTCTGTCAACTAGTGAGAAAAAGCCATGCCAGACATTATGGTAATACAGGTCGACCGACTGGACACGTGATGTATGGATAGGGGG